CACACACACACACACACACACACACACACACACACACACACACACACACAAGCACATCTGCTGATTTGTTAAAACGATGTGTATGTGCTGCAACAATCAAATCAAGAGCAATAAATCTCAAGGGCAGTTCAAACCCACCATAAGGTGGGAAACTGTCTCAGATTTTACACACATACAAAACATTTTTACAATCCTTACATTCTTCTGAGAAATGTGCTTCACATTTCTGTGCAAACACACTGAGACACTCCAAGACAAACATGCACATGTACAGGACATGATGCATTCACATGACATTGGAATAGGAGGAACACAGATGTGCGCTTCCATTTATACACGCACACGCACGCGCACGCACGCGCACGCACGCACGCACGCACACACACACACACACACACAGAGACACACACACACACACACACACACACACACACACACACACACAGAGACACACACACACACACACACACACAAATCCTTGTTTCCCAGTTCTGGTTATGGCCCATTGGCTGATGCCTGCCGTCCATCTCTCATGATTCATGGCTAAGCGAGCTGCTGTAGAGCAGTTCTAAACCACTGGGCCGGGGAGAGCCTGTGTGTCATTAAGGCACAGCGGGCTGGACATGCTGTTAGAGCTGCTGCTCCACGGACAGCTCTGTGCCTCAGTCGAGCAGTGCAGGTGAGGAGGCAAGTACTTCTGTATGTGGTAGTACTGCTCATTGTGCTTTATACTAGAAAAGTAATATCGGCTGCTGCTCGCACTCACAGGCTACCTTGCCCTGTGAAGGGAGCACAGTGAGCAAGACAAGTGCTGCCTTTCATTTAGTCAGACACTGCTCTCCTACTGCCCCCACCCTGCATTTCAGCTAAATTAGCCCCTCTAATCATCCCCAAATCCTCCTTCTTAATCAGCAAAGCAGTGGGGGCTAAAGAAAAGAGACAAGGGTGCCAAGTCCCACCCTCTGCCATCCTCTATTAGCATGAGTCCCATGAAAGGTGGTGGAGGCACACGTCCATACCCTAATGACTCCTTAATGATCCCCTCCTCTGCTAGAGTGCTGACAAACACTGACAAACCCTGACCCTGACAAGAGGAACACCCACGCTTAGCCCTCTTCCTCACCCCTTATTTGGAGGCTCATCTCTCAGTCTTCAGCCTCATTATACCAGCTTGGGTCCAGCAGGATCCATACAGCCCCAAACTAGCAGCAAGATAAACACCCATGATGAAATAGTCCATGTCACTTTCAGAGTTAAGGGGCAAAGTTTGAGTAAATTCCTTTCGGCAGATGGAGCGAGAGGGAGAGAGAGCATAGATAAACAAAGCAAAAGTTTTTAAAAAAAGAGATTGGCGGTGAGAGACAGAGTAGAACTGCCGAGCCTGTGGAAAAAAACATTGTTTGCATCCTTTTTTACTTTTTCCTGATCGTGATTTCCACTTCAACTTGGGGTTGGGGGAGTCAGCGGCGGAGACTCTTTTTAACATCACACGAGACATAATTACAGAGTGCACCGCTGCCAGCCCGCCTCAGTTTCTCCTAAATACTCACACCCCAAATTAGGGGTTACCTCCTTCTACTTAAACCTACTATTTAAGATGAAAACGTCACAGACAAACAGAGGGGACAGGAGAGGGAGTAAAGAGGAAAGACCTAGTGTAACAGCTTTCTTTCAAAATGATAGAGAAGGCCTTTGTTAAAGACAGTTACTGGCAGGCCTTGGATAAAGCCAGGTGTGGAAACTGGGACGAAAAAACAAAAGTTGGAAAAGACACACACACAGCTAAAAAGACTAGAGAGTGTGTTTATGTTCTAGCTGCAGTATATATGACAGCTGAAAATCTGCTAAGGATATTTCCAAAAGGCAACGAGCTAAAGAAAAACACTAACTTCACGCTAGCCTATGACCTCACTGGTTTGGACTGCGGCTCCCAGTCCCAGTCGCGGATGACAGAGCACTCACTCTTTGAGCCTTTTCCCAGCTCTGCCTTCGTTCCTGTTTTGTTTTCTTTTTTTTTCAGTTTTTTGTCTTTATAGATGAGTTTCCTGGTCAGCTTCATGACGATTTATTGGTGTCACAGAGTCCGCTGCTCAGCCACAGGCAAGGGGCCAACACTAACCCTGCCTTTTTTTTTTTGTGCTGCACTGTGCTGTAAAGAGCCACAGCGGAGATTATTAGAAGATGAAAAGAGATCCCATACATGGCTCCTTCACTGATATAACAGGAGCAAGGTACTGTGCTGCCTCTTGAGTTATAGAGAACACTCATCTCTGCTTTTTGTCTCTCTCTGCTCCTTCATCACACACAGGCCACTGTTCACCCTGCAGTAGAGACCAGTAGCTTAACTGTTGCAGTATCCCAGAGCTTTGATTTACACTACTACATAGTATTAGTTGTGATATTAGTATTGGTATTACTGTAGCAGACATAGACGTTAAGGTACCTAGGGACACAAACACTGTATTATATTGCCACCTTTAAGGGGATCAGGTTATAATTCCAGTCTATTACAACTGCACCACATTTTCTGTGTCTTGGACATAATTTCTACCGGTTATGATAACATTGTACTGTAATTGCTATGACAACGCTCCAGGGAGGTTCAGCATGGCAAGAAACATGAGCGTTCAAATGATCCTAAAATGTGCGAAATGAATCTTCATTGCAACTCTAAAGACGATATAGGTCATAGTTGAACCTGGAAGTCGGTGTGTAAGATGTGATGGAGGCTTATAACAGACAGTTTGGGAAATTTGACCATTTAACTAACACAGATGTCAACAATTAACATGATGAGTATAAGCTTATTGGAATGGATAGGAGTGATGGCCAGAAAAATACAAAAATAATAAACTGGATTTTCTTTGAAAGGTGGCAATATTATCTAATGTGAGGAAAAAAGACTAGGGCTGACTAGGATTGGTTAAACACACACACACACACACACACACACACACACACACACACACACACACGTATCAAGTTCATAGAGTTCATTAAATGTTTCTGTTATCATCTTCCAAGCTTTTCACCCACACAATCAAAACCTGAAGCTCAACAGAATCTAAACCCACACCCCACATCATATCAAAGCCACATGGTCCACCAGGTCCTTTTATTGAATCAAACATTTCACCATGTATATGATTTCACTCAAGTCTCGGGGAAATTCTCAGAAACTGCAGTGCAGACTAATCAAAGATGTTTCAAATCACATATGGCACAGATTCCTATATCACTGGAATGAATGCCACTTCCTCCGTTTAAGTCTCTTCTCTGTCTTCTCCGCACTCCCAGACTGTGGGCAGCACACTGGAAATCACAGTGAGAAACAACATCCTGTCCCCAGTCTCTAGGAAGTGACCTCAGTTTCAGAAAGGCCAGATAAAAAGTCCACATCAGAAACAAAAACACCAGGACGGCCGTAATGAGCTATCCGCCAGGCTCCAGTGTGTTCTGAGGGAGACCAGGTGGTGTGACACACATATGACTCTGATTAGGGGGCCTTCAGAGGAACAAGGGGAGGAAGGGGGGTAGTAGGGTGGGCCGTGCAGGGCCAATAGGGACGTTTTGCATATGATGCAACTATTAGTGGTTCTTAATGACTTCCACTGGCCACTGGGACACTCTGGTACTTTGTCCTTTGTGTGTAAACATGAAGAGGGGGGGGGCAGCGTGGGTATTGTTTTCCTCTAGGAAGCAACATGTGAGTAACACGGGCCTCCGTGGCTGGAAATGTGACGTACTATGGAATACAGCAGCTTGATACTGATATACTGATACTACTCTGCGAGGTCTTTAAATGTCATTAAGTGCAGAAACACTCATAAAAGCACTGGATATGGTAGCAGGGATACAGTGAATACACTTGCACGCATACTCGCAAGTTAGACCATTCAATCAGACATTTGGTCGGCCAATTACTGCTAAAGCCAACAATGTGCAGAGCAGTCGAACCCTCAGAGCAGACACTAAGGACCTTGTCTGTGTCCTCTTATGTCTCTCACCCCATCTCTCTCTCTAACCTCATTACATGACAGAGGTTTTTGGCACTGGTGTTTGTAGACTCATAATAATAGTTTTGCTCTCCACATATCCTCAAATTGTGGGAGGGAGAGATGTCAAGGGGGACCTCTGGCCCCATTCTTCAGCTGTTAGTTTCATCCTGGTGCATTGTGCTGTGTTTGACTGGACTGTTTAAATGTCTCCTGATATCAGGCAACACAAACAAGCAGGCCCGTCGGCCTGGTGGGGAGGATAAGGAATGAAGGGGAAACGGAGGCCATTCTTCTCCTTGTGTGACGGAAATTGTGTTTGGAACAAGCACCTGTCACCCCCCAACAATGACCACAGAGGTCGGGCAGAGAGAGAGACAGAGAGGTAGGAGACAGACTGAGGGAGAGAAAGAGGGCACGAAACAGTAAAGAACCTCATTTCTCTCCCTCTCCTTCATGCTCTTCTCTCCCTCCCACCCTTTTTTTTCCTTTTCTCTGCCCCATATTCAAACAACTTAATCTGTGTAAATTACATTCCACAACAGGCGTATGTTCCAAAGCCCCAGACTTAGTGCTACATGAACCAGATAAACATCTGCATTATATCTGCATAAATGGTTTGCATTGATAATAAGGTGAACCAGCTGCTGAGGCTATCCTATTGGCCTTTCCTTCAACTGCCTCACTCTCTCTCCTCCCCCATCACCTTCATCTGTTCCCTGCACCAACTTGACACCCACTTTTTTAAATAGACAAAGAGCAGCAGCATCTCTGTGTCCTTCACACTCCTCCTTCAGATACCCTCTAAACAGCCAGAACTAAAGAATGCTGGGCACAGCACAATCCCACCCCTACAACATGATAAGACACTCAGAAAAAAAAAAAAAAAAAAAAAAAAAAAGAACTTTGTAACCTCAATTCATTGTCCTCTGCAATGAAAGTTAGCACCATCCATTTTAAAACTGCTGTAACTGCTTTCAAGCCCACCCTGTGTGAGCCTCTTACCTCTCTGTCCTTTAGCTTCATGGCCAGAACCAGCTGGTTGCGATGGTTGGTCAGCGCTTCACGATAGTTTCCCTTGGAGAAGAATGCCGAGCCCAGATTCCCATGAGCACGGCATTCCCCTGTTTGGTCACCTGGAGAGGAAAAAAACCAAAACGAGTATTTACAGTACAGCCTACATGATTACAAAGCAACTGGTGTTTACTTCACATCATCCCACCGTCACTGTTGAACGGTGATGTGATGAACCACATCTATGCCACCGACATGCCACTGCTCCCTTAAAAGGGAAAGTGGCCGTTATATGTTCTCCACAGTAGAGCGGCTTCCCTGACAGCTGGTAGTGTTGATCTCAATGCTCCAGAGGGTGAGAGGGGAAAGCCTTATTATTTCTGCCTGACAGAGAGGCCCCACAGACAGGGCCAAAGCAAAGCACAACTCTCTGTGCTCTACCTGAGAACCATAGCTCCTTATCTCCAGCTGCTCTGCCCAGTCATGTGTCAAACTGTGTGGGGGTGAAGAGTGGAGCCAGTCAGTGCTACTCTCTGTTTTCATTTTCTATCTTACCTTCCTAAGTTTCTCTTTCCTTTACTGCCTTTCTCTCAAACCCTCTCTCATCTTCCCAGTTATTTCCCAGTTAAACAAAATGTTATTTATTTTCCTGACTAACATTTAGAAATTACACTGGTATTCTGCTTTAATTGAGATACACAAGAGGAAGGCTAAGAGTCTACAGCCATGCTAGCAGCTCTGTGGAGTTGTACATAGCAGTGCTTTGAGTTAAATGGTAGAGTTAGTATGCAGATTTGCCTGATGAAGGTTTAGGACCGAAACATTGCATGCATTTGTTTGTTGCAAGTCAGGCAGTGTGCGGGATCTTTTTGATTGCCACTTTGGATCCACTCCCCCTGCTCCTACACACCTGCCTCACAAAACAGATGTGCCAAGTTTTCTCCTGCTTTGAGTTAGTATGCTAACATGCTCACGACGATAAATATTGCTAAGGTGATGATGTTTAGCTGATCTAGTGTTTACCATGTTCATGGGAATGTCATTGCTTTAGTCATGAACCAAAGTATTGAGTTTATCGCCAATCATTTTGATAATTTATTAGTTGTTTCATTTATCAAGAAAAATGAGTGAGGGTTTGCTACTTGTCTCTGTTTTATATCATTTAAAGTCAAATATCTTTTGATGTTAGACTGTTGGGTGGAATCAGCTACTTCATAATGTCACCTTAGGCTCTGGGACATAATGTGACTAAATGATTAATCAAAAAAGTAATCAAAAAAATGATAAAGATGATAATGATAATAATAATGATTACTCCCTCTACCCCGGTTCAGGCCTCTTACCTAAGGTCTTCGCCACCTCTAAGTCTTGCTGCATGTAGCCGGTGCTCTTCTCGGTGTTGCCCAGAGACCAGTGGGCGCTGCTGAGGGCCGAGAAGACGGAGCCGCGGAGCTTGAGGCTGCACGTGCCGATCTTCAAAGCGGCTTCCAGCACCACAACAGAGGCCGTGTGGTGGCCTGCTGTCAGCAGCTCCTGGCCAATCACAGACACCACCACAAAGGGACTTTTGTCCAGCTTCATCTTTTGCAGCTGCTGATAGGTGGGCTCGAGAGACTCTGTGCAGGGAGGACATGAGTAAGACGGAGATTAAAAACAGACTCCAAAATATGCCACAACATAACCTTGTGCTGACATGGTAACTGACAACAATATCTGACGTTAATTGCGGTAACTGTGTTACGTGTTTACCAACGCTGACAAATGTGACTGCTGTCTGAATTCAGATTCTACTTTCCTCCAGTAATGGGTGTGTTTTGTCTGCCCAGATAAGCATAGCCTGTAGCTTGGCTGAGTGACGGCTTTCACTGACAATAACTCAACATATAAGCCATTTTTCTGTTCCATCCACTTAGACCGGGGTAATCTCAGGCAATTTCCGACAGCGCTGCATAAAAATGGCACAAGTTTAGACCACTGTGGGCAACTGTCTTTACAAACCACGCAGCGAAATTATATTTCTGCCTTTCTCTTCGTGTCAGTTGATATGGCTGTTCGAGAGAATAGAGCGGGCTGGGTGGGTTTTGAGATACAGTTTAAAGGAGTGACAGGGAAACTAATGCAGCTAATGCACAACAGTAGCAGCGGCGGAGGAATGCAGAGTAAAGGAGACACACAAGGTGACCTTTGAAGAGGCTGAAAATGCACACAATGACATAAATCAATGGCGGTGCCGCGCGGGATTCAGGATCCACAGCCCCTTCAGATTACAAAGCCCTCTGGCAGACACCAGCATCGAACAACAGGATGGGGGGGGGGGGCACGCCCATATGTGTGTGTGTCTTTTGATGCATTTATGTATCAGTATATATTTGCATTCATGTATAGGAGTGCATCTCATGGCCCTGTATTTGCAAATATTTTAAGCAGAGCTGCTACTAATTAGGCCAAAGTGCTTTACAGAAGACTACACGGTGTTAATGTGCCTGCACCAACTGGATGTGTGTGGCTGCGTGTGTATTCTACATTTTCTCATAAGGCCCAAGCTTTCATAAACTGTTACTTTAATTTGTGTAGACAAACATTTAGGCGCAACAAGCACACAGTCACAATATCTGAACAAACTCAATAGTTCTTCGAAAACACACAGAGATGCTAATTCACCTAGACGCACGCACACACAATATGAGATGCTTCCCCACACAAGCGCTCAAAAGCATAACTGATGATGCTCTTTCAAGAGCATCGCTTGTGTTCCAGCACTTGGCAGAATGTCGTGCTTACAGAGACAGTGCGTGCATATAATATCCATTCATAGCTTGTAATTGCCTTCAGAGTGACACCGAGCGCTGAGTCATAAATCAAACACTGAGAGAATGCTTTTTTAAAAAGGTGCCATGGCTGCCGCATTCATAAACAGGTAGTTATGACAACATCTGAGTGTGTTGCTTCACACACACCGCACATACACAGGCACACAACACACACAAAGTCAAATGCTTTAGCTAGTGTTTACCAAGCTTTGTATCAAGATATGAAGCAAGAATTGCAACCTCACCCTCATTGACATGCACACAGCTAACGGAGCATCACTCGACCTCTACAGTATCTTTCTCCCCATTTGTCTGACAAGAGTCCTGCGCTCTCCTTTCCTGTATTTGAGGACGTATCATCAGTGGGACTGGTAAAGCCGTGGAATACTGCAAAATTTGAATTATTCTTTGAATTTTATTCTTAGCATTTATGTTAATTACTAATAGTAGGGCTGCACAATATGCAAAAAAAAAAAACATGTTGCGTTTTTGCATTTCATTTTCACTGAAAAACATTTAAAAATGATGATTATGTAATTTTTGTTACCAAACAAAAATGTATGTTCCCTTATGTCTGGAGAATATGATTTGTTGCATCTCTGATGCACCAATGCTGCTAACGCTGCACAACAAAGGTGTGACACATTTTATCAAAAATTTTGTCAAAAAAAATGGCAGCTCCTGCGATTTTTGCAGCTCCTGCGATTTGGATATTGCACTTGGCCATATTGCGATTTCGATTATATTTCAATTAATTGTGCAGCCATACAACACCAGTGAATAATATTACAGAGCATTACCATCCTGTCCTATTATAATTATAAATTTCTGGAACCAGCATGGCTTTGGTTATGCATGATATCTGTCACTATGACAAGATAAACGCAGGATCTTCTTGAAAAGATCCGGCTGGTGATATTATATATTTTTGTTGTTTCTTTGGGTTTGTTGGCAATAAAATGTAGAAAGTATATATAATCTTATCCTGTAAGTAATAATGTGACATGAAATTGATCTCTGTAGAACAATTCCCCCCTTGCTTACTTTACATAACAATTACATAGCAGCTCCTCTGGTGTGTATAATGTTTAAGAATCAAAGGCACTTTGCTCAAAGGCACCTCAGTAGGACAGATGCTAATGAACACAGGGTCCAGATCCTCCAGTTAAAGGACAATCTTTTGAACTGCAAATGATTCAGCTGGGGTCAATAACTGCCACACTGTGAAACCGTCTCCTCTATGGTTCATCTGAAGGGGATCTTCAAGTGAAATACCCTTTTTAGTTGGCATACGCGGGAAAACAATCCAATAATTAACAGCCAATGGACCCTTTGCACACTCTCTGGCCCCAAGCAGCTGAATGAAAGACAGAACTGGAGCAGGATGAATAGCAAGAATATTACCCATGTGAATGCATACATACTAAAACACAGCTTCCAATATATAAAACTGCGAGAGGCTGATTTCCCACAGCTCGTTCAATGACACAGATGGAGAATGCTGATAGTGGAGGAAAAACTGCTGCCAGGATGATCGGAAGTGGCAGACGGAGAGACAGAGATACAGTAAGGAGAGGGAGGTGAGACTGCACCAGTTTCCACTTGTGTGAGAGCCCTCTGTTGTGGGAATTACAGTATGAGCCACAGGAGAGCACAACAGCTGTTTAAATCTGCAATAATGAGAGGAAAGCTTGATCTGTGCAAGGAGGAGCGGTACTGTGTGTGTGTGTCAGAGACAAAGGGCTGAATTGTATATGACACAGTAAGATTTGGGGAATTATTCATCTAATATTAAATTTACCGTGGAAACAAAGCAAGCTTTGATGAACTCACAACACACTGAGTCCTTGAAGACATATGTCTTGATATTGTTCTCTCAGGTTCATTATTTGACTTCCTCTATCTTAATTTATTTATTTGCCTATTTCGGTATGAATGTCATCAGCTGGATCTCTTTGCTCGGCGGCACAAAATAAACACAAAGGTGCTTTGGGAGGACTGAAAACATCAGAGTGTGTCGAGATGTTTGTGGTAAGATAAATGACTGAGATAAGTGAACACTGCAATCACAGCTAGATACAATCAGCTCTTTCTTGGCAACACGGCAACAACATTGAGTTTATACACAGAAGGGAATAATGCAGTGTTTACCGAACGGGTATAAGAGATTTAAGTGTAATTACAAAAGGATTACAGCTTTTTAGTATCATTACAATGTCCTTACAAACACAAAACAAGCAGGTGGAAAGCCCTTTTGGTACAATGATATGACGTATATATGGGCTTTTCATGACTCCACAAGCCATATTTTTGGTTCAAACAGAAGACAATTGTTCAATCAGACTGGCGGGACAGGTAATCAACAAGCTGAATCCTGGGATGAGCGTGCCATGTGACCGATAAACACGGATGGCAGGACTGTGACGCTCTTCCAACGCTCGCCTACCTTTCACTTATCAGGGGACTTTGGCTGAGTAACACTGATTATCCTCCCTGTTTGCTGGCGTAACATTGATTATCGTCCCCCTGTGCCAGGAGCCCCTCTGAGAGGATCATTGCTCTTAATCCTTTGACCTAGCTACCTCTCCTCAACACACCTTGGATTAGGTCCTCTGATGGTTGCCTGGCACTGTGGGAAATAGGGTAAACAATTAAGAGATTAAATGGCTTGGGCTAAATGTTGGTTTTCCCCTACTGAGAGGACCCATTCTAGTCCATGATGCACGGGTCTGGGCTCACACCCAAACCCTTTTCTTGTTTTGGTTCCAGTGACAGGCTTATATACTGAGAGTCGCTCAGATGGTCCCTTCATTCTTTATTCTCTTCGCGATATTTTATCTTTTTTATTTATTCTGCATTTGTACAAGAATATTCAGAGGAGCGCTGTATGAAATCAATCAAAGACAAGCAGATTCCTCACACAACAAAGCCCCTCAGAGCAACAGATCTCATTGTACAATTCAGTAAAATTTGGATTATAAAACAAGGCCGCAGTGATTAAAAGGCGCAGTTTTCACCACAGTTTGGAAAACAGGTGATGACAAAGCAAGACAGCAGGATGACTCAGTGTATGCTGGCAGTCGGTGCCTTCCAGATCTGAGGCATATTAAATCCTCTGCAGTGGTCATCCCGAGTCAAATTGTTGCCAGGTTTGTGTTGAGGCTCATTAGGCTGGCCCACACGGATTACTCATGGACAATCAGGTCACTGCACTTGGCTGATACAACAGATAATAATGCATAACAGAAAAAAAAAAAAACACATTTTAGTAACAATCTTGGCTTGAATGCGCTACTTATAAATCCACTCAGCTTTAGGAAAAAGGCTTACACAGGGGCAGACACAGACAATGGCATTAGTGTTGGATGCTCATTAAGATAAGGGGCTATCTGTGTGTGTGATCAGCCTGAATGACAATAAGATATGCTGAAGCTGCAGGCATCAGGCCTCAGAGTCCGGAGGTAAGTACTTGACACCAACAGTCAGTCACAAAGACAGAGAGATGGAGAGATGGAGAGATGGCCTGCCTGCCGAATGGGAAAAAAACTGACAGGTAAAGTCACTCTAACACGCTTATTGACTGACAGAGAGTGAGGATTATCTATGGGACAGGCCTTTAGGTGGCCGTGAAGCAGAGAGACAGTGTCACCCGTACATGCGAACGCGCTTGTCAACGCTCAAATACGAAACGTACTCAGCTACCAAATTTCTTACCTCGTAGTGGTGATTTCATGGCGGCTTCTACCATGCCCACCAGTAGCTGTAGGCTCTTGGGGTCTTGGGCCAGCCCGGAGGCGAAGGCGGCCAGTGCGTCGGCATGGCGACCAAGGTACTGAAGGGCAACACCCTGTCGGAAGTATGCCTGTAGAGAGAGGTAACAGAGAGAGTGATCAGGGCTCCACTCTAGTGCCACAGCATGAGTCTTTATACAAACACATTACCAGACACACTCATTTCACGCCATTTGCATTTTTTCCACATGAGTAGTTTTCGGAACATGGCACTTCTCTCCTTTGTATTCCCATAATAGAGTGATCACTGGGTTTTTTGTACTTGTTAATTGGATTATAAGTTTTACATAAATGCACATGTTACACTCTGGCTGGCTGCCTTCTCAGGAGCAACTATTGTTTTTCTGTTCAATATTTTATTTCTTGTGTTTGCTGTGGGAGTGAACTGCACACATGTAGAGCCTTGGGATTTCTCTTTGGCTCTGCTAGGAAGAAAAGTGAAAAGAAAGAAAAAGGAGAATGAGAGAGAGCTACTTACTCAAGTCGGTCTGTAGCTCAATAAAAGAACACCCATAAATACTTCAGCTTGTGCGTTCCCTTTGTCAGGACGCAGTTGTAAAATAATAACACGACTGGCCACAGTCTGTTTTTGCCGTATTTTTACATCAGATGTGCTCTTGTGTCATGTTTTGGATACGTGAACGGCTCTTCAAGCAGGCAAAAATTAAACACATTTGTCATCCAGTCATTTATTCACAGAGCATAGAGAGTCACATTGTTGCAAGCATAATAATTCAGTACCACTGAGACATAAACTGCATGCTACTGCTGACATACTGTATCTTTCTGGGAGAGACTAAAATGTTTTGGAACATTCTTCAGTTTGAAAACTAAAACAGACGCTGTCTCTGGGATCCAAAGCTCCATCAATAAGTGTTTTTTTTTTTGTTTTTTTTCTTCAACATGTCTGTTTGGACACTCCAGAAAAAAAATAAGATGTTTTATCCAGGCGAGTTTGTGACTCAGTATGTTTGTGTCTAAGGCCTGATCAGACAATAATCCAAGTGAGTTGTTAAACCTGACTCTGGTCCAGTCTAAAAACAGCAGCAAAGAGACATGGAACGAGATCCAGCTCATTAGTCATACTCCAAACCACTAAATCCCCCCCAAGAGAAAGCAAACTGTCTCTCGGAATAGTCATATCTGGGCTCGTGTGTCAGAAACGCACAATTACAGCAACAAAGAATGAGGGATAAGCATTGTGTGAGGCAAAGACACAACAGACGCTGTCTAAAATTTATACTAACTGTAAGAGTTCTGACCTTTCCAACTCCGGTGTTTTTGTGTTTGTGCCTGTGTGTGTGTGTGTGTGTGTGTGTGTGTGTGTGTGTGTGTGTGTGTGTGTGTGGGAGAGGAAGCAGCAGCAGCAGTCCAGGCTGCCGTCTGGCCACCGCCTCACTGAGTAGTCACAGTCACTCCACTCACAGCTTCCAAAAGTGACACAAGGGCTAATTTGCTATTAGCATCTAAGAGGCCTTTTCATTAGTCTTCCCAAGCTTCTCTGTTAGCACCGTTAGGAAGTGAGAAAGGCAGGGAGGATTAGGGAAAATGAGACATGACATCGAATTTATAGAGAGCCAGTAATTAATTTTGCTTCCGTTTGAGCCCCCCCACCCCCACTCCCCCCCACTGACTAGCAATCTCTCCAGACCTGCTGCCCCCCTCTACATTTCTACTTCCCTTTCACTTGCATCACAACTCCACTGAAAATGACGAGGACAGAGATTAGATTCAAAGCATTAACCTTTGTTCTAACACTGTTATTATATGAGGGGAGCGCAGGCCTGGGTATCCGCTCAATATTAATTGCATCTACTGGCGGTGGAGTTTGGGCAGGACGCACTGGCAGGAGTGGAGAAGCCCACAAACGTTTCGCCCAGGGGAACAAAAGGCATTTAAAAGCATTTCTCCCTTTGATTAGATTTAGCCTACAATATGACCGCTCTCCCAGAGATCTTTCTTTCATAGTCTAAAGCGGCGTGCTGACTGACTGAGACGACCAGGGAAAAGGGACGAGAAAGAAGATGAATAAAATGAGGCTCCCTTCAAAAAAAACAAACAAAAAAAAAACAAAAAAACATTGGCATCTCCTTTAATCCTTTTATTTTACCCTATCCTGTCCTACATAAGGTTGAAAGACTAGACTGTGCGGAGAGTGCATTAAAATACTGCAAACACAAGCACGAGAATAAATGCATAAACGAGAGAGCCACGGCAAAAGTGACAGAATCAATGTGCCGTACAGCATTATAGGATTTTTTTTTCCTTCCATTAATCTCCTACTGCCTTCAAAACACATCATGTGGCTGCACAAAGACACACACACACAATATAACCTCAGCTTTTGCATAATCCAACAAGTCAATTCAACCAGCGCTGCTCATAAAACAGAGGGTTCACTTGAATTTACATTACAGTCACTGAATATTAATTCAGAGCAAAACTGACATTGATACTGATGAGAGGCTCAAGATAAACTGAGGCTGGCATATTTAAGTAAAAGTAAACATAGGGGAGACACCAAGGACCAAACTGAAGAAAAGACACCAATAGGCTAGCTATGCTATCTGCATGAAGCATTATGGGTGAAGGGAGACCAAGATTTTACCCCTACACAACATTTTTTTTTTTTTTCAAATTCACGCTTAACAGGATCTTTTCTAAAAACACAGCAGCATCTGCTTAGAGCTGCTGCTACAGTGATTAGCACAGCCTCTAGCTTAGCCACACGGAGAGGAGAACTGAGAGATAGAAAGAAGGAGAGGTACAGTACAGCGGTAAAGAGAGAGAGAGAAAGAGAGAGCATTACAGGGAAAGAGAGGGCTCCACAGATTAACTTCTCCCCGTCAACATACGGCAATACATACATACACAACTGACTGGTGCAAGTCAGTGCTTCATCTTTCAGCCAAAAACTGTCTCCCTGAACAGGATGCACATTAGAGAATAACTCCACCAAAGGCAAAGTTCTCACAGAGAACGGGCCCTCCTGATTTGTGACACATCTGTTAGGCATCTTGTACAACATGACATTCACAAACCAAGACTTCTAATACAGTAATTGTGTTTTGCCTGAAATTCTATCCGGGGTAAATTATTGAACCTTCCTGCATCTTTGCCTCCTCTATTTAATGCAGCAATATGCTGATACCACAGAAGAGTGGATCAAGTGCGAAGGTATGTCGTTCTTACCCGTGGGTAAATTCTGGGAGTGCTAATGCGCATGTGTGTGTGTGTGTGTGTGTGAGGATAAGAGAGAGGGAGCAAAAGAGAGAGGCTAGAAAAGACATAGGAATAAGAGAGAGGATAAAAGCTTTTCTTGTTTCTCGAGCATTTTAATATTTCATGAATGCTTGTTTGATGTAGTCTTAAATATTCATGTTTTTATGCTTAGGAGGAAGAGGGAAATGATGCAAAAAAAAAAAAAAGTTATTCACTCTGGTACACTGTGCTACACACTGGGGGGACTCAACATTCTCTGCGCACATACGCACAAACAAGCACATGCACACACCACAGTTGCACACGCTCACTTTCTCTCTAACAAGACACTTACAATGAAACATGGACAATTTTCTTCCAGTGACAGCTCTGTTGTTCACTCTAAGGCCCACAGTCAGAGCAGCTGAACGGAAAGTTGACAAGATTAAGATTGGGAGTTTGGCGCAAGACCAGCTGTTGGAGGCTCCTTTCCTATTAGCAGATTAATGCCCCGGCATATGTCCTTGCCCCCTCTTCAGTACACTGTAACCCCAGGGGTGTCCTCAGCCCCTGGGAGCATGTCTGTGTTTGCACTTGTCTATCCTTGTTCAAGATCGGGGCCTAACAGGCTTAAAGGAAGAATTCACTGAAAATGTACCTCAACAAGACGTGCTGTCACACCGAATGGAAGAGTGAGCGACGGGGGTATGATTTGGGATATGAAGATGGACTGTATGTCCACACTCAGCATTCTGCCTGATGTACCTCTTAGTACAAAGTTGAAATAGAGTGCATGCTGACAGAAACATACTGTCTCCAACAGATGTGAAAAATCTTATTTGGTCAACAGTTTGTTACACATTTTTGAAGAACCTACGTATGTATCCTACATCTAAGTGCTTTCCCCAGGTTGCACCATGAGATGTATGAAGTGCTTCCAACACAAAATGCTTACTAAAGACTGCAAAATCTATTTGTTTACCCTCTCCTGGATCTGTCATTTTCAGCAAGGAATCAAATTGCCAAAGTAATTTGTTAATGCTTTGTATCAAGGGCACTGCAGCTGGAAACCCGCCCGTGTAGTCAGGTTATTTACAGAGAGCTGAAACGGTTTCCTGCCACACATTCAGAGTTGTAAAATCTCCACCACAATTATGTCTCTCTAAACAAACAGCATAACTCCTCGCCCACGGCGCAGGCAGCCTGTCATTGAACTGACTGCTCCAGCTGTGCTCCAGTAGCCCAAAGCCTTGTGCGGCTTGCTGCGATCTGATCGGTGATCAGCAATAATAGAGATGCTCTCAAATGTGGAAATCAATAGAAGCAGCGCAAAGCTCTGTTTAGATCGTGCCACACCCTTCACTGCTATAGTGTTTAGGATACGCCTTCTGCAGATGGTTTTCTGATCACCCACGGGGCAGTTGGTGCCAGAACGACGACTCTGAAACAGAACCCCCCGCTGGCGACATAATGGAACCCAAATCAGACCATCAAACAGGGACAGCAGGCTGCAAATACACTGCACACACACACACAAATACAAGCTGAAGAAAAATACATCAATAACTCCTCAAGAAAACCACCCATCTGTCTCAAACAAACAATGTATTATTTGAAATCAGCTTTCCACATAGGCCCGGACGCTGGGATGAGATTAACACTAATGGTGTGACAGGAACAAAGGGATTGTTGCCTTTCATCCCTCTGTTTCTTGGCTCTTGAACTATAGGTGTTGTTGCCTGGTTTCCAGTGTGACCCAGAAATGTCATGTGTCGACCAGGCTTTAAGACATGTGCCTCCGCCATCCCTCGCACATCTCTGCCACTACACTTTCAAGGTGACATAGTCGATTCGCAGGGTACACAAAATG